GTGACCTCAGGCACAACGAATAACACATCTGGCGGTTCAAGCTCGAGTCCCAGCGTCCAGCCTAAGTGGTCCTGACCAACCAGAACTTGTTGGAAATGGGGGTTCAATGCATCAATGACTTCCCCTATATTTCCCACCTTACTTCTGGTCATTAGAAAGGGCCCGCTCGGTGTAAGGACGCAGATAGATGCTGCTGATTTGCTTTTGAACATGTGCTCTTCCAGTGTCAGAGGTCCTGTATCGAAGTTGAGAATCTGCATGCCTTCGGATGGGGTCGTATCTTCAAAGAACAATGGCAAAACCGTTTTAGCATCCCCCCTAGGCTGCCAAGTCAGATGCGTGTTCAATGGCAAACGGTAGAATTTGCGAAGGGCTTCCATGACTCTAACCTCCTGCATGACTCGAATGACCACTGTGGTTCTGCCCTGGGTGATCCTAAGTGCATTGAAATGGTGTGTCTCAACTTCCCAACTTGCCGTAGGCGAGACAGGATTTCGTTCAATGATGAGCATGTCGTGCTCAGGGACAACTCGTGTCGAGACATCTGGAGCTCTAAGTCTGTTGTTCATTAGCTCATCAAGAATCCACTTTGGGATCTCAGACCACCCGATCGATGCCAGCTGTGCGATACCATTAATCAGCCCAAGTAAAGCATGTGGCACAGCTATTGCGTTGCCTAACAAATGGTATGCTATCCTGTGGTTACATGGCATGTACACTGGGTGTGCACTCCCGAACAAAAGGGCCGCCTCAGCTATTGACAAAAGACGGATCTTGCCATTGTGAAGGACGAAAGCTCCCAGAAGTCCTTTCTGACTAAGTGTTTCTGTTGGAAGTTCATGAGACTTCGAGTAGCTGGCCATAAGACATGGGTGCACGTCTGCAATGGTTTTGACACGGCATTTCCGGATCTGATACGAAGTAGTGCCAACTCCCTGCGGGAGATAGCGCGGCTGGAAATACATGTCAAAGATGTCTGGACTGGGTGTTGGAGTGAACTCGTGGCTTGCGTCCGAATCCGGCAAAATGATTGATTGCAGTGTTGGTGTCAGGTGTGCCTTGGTCCATGTTCCTGATGGCATCTGTTTGACCCGGGGGTCTCCGATACGTACTGCTACGAGCATCAGCCTGGTTCTTGACTGTGGCAGAACTTCACTCAGGTTCAGGTTAGCTTTCCAGACAATCTCATATCCGGCCCAATGGATAAATGCCAGTATCCAAGGGGCGTGTTGGTGTGCAAGCACTGATGCTACTTCCTCTAGACAGAGTACTGCTGGCCGAAGGTAGATGCATTGTGTGACTGTGTATATGAGCAAACGTCCCTCTTCTGCATCTAAACCCCTTTCTGCTCCCGCCCGACTCCATGGTTGGCATGGAGGAGAAGCGACCAGAATGTCTACCTGCTCAAAAAGGTGGCACCACCAGCTGTGTTCTATGTTTGCAACAACCATCAAATGCTCTTTAGGGGGTTCACCTCCAGCGCCTAAGTCGATTGCTTGCTCTACTGATGTGATGGGTGGAAAGTTTGAGTGATTTGTGGCATGGACTTTAGCAGCAATGATGTCGTGCTCTATTGAGAACACTTGTTTGGCAGGCAGCAACGAATCAGCCAACATCTTAGCAGCGAAACTCCATCCGGAAAATCCTCCCCCAAAGAACTCTCCAACACGAATCTGCTGCTCCTCAGTACAAGCTTCCCTGTTGATTGGAACAATACCTGCCTGTGGCGCTCTGATATCAATTATGCACTGGTGGTCAATCCACAAAAGTCGCGCCTCGACAATGAAGATGTGTCTATCGGGCCCCAGCATCTTCCACAAATGACTTGGCATAGACAAATGTGCAAATGTGACCCTAGGATGCGTACATTCAGGCCATGAACAATTCATGTCACCTATCATATGACTCAAACCAGTGGCAGGGGGAACGATGCGGCATGTGACCAACTCCATCCCATTCCACTTTTGGGCATGGGTCCCTGTGATAGCCTGTGCTGAGAATGCCTTAGTACGACAGGTGCACAAATCTGCAACCGGACAGTGTGCCCTAACGTGATCTTGCAAACTCTTGCGGGTGTCAGGCTTCAGTGTGGGAAGGGATTGTCCGGGGGACCATGAGGCCTCAGGTCCACCACCACGCACATGTCTCTCCACCCATTGTGTTTGCAGTAAGTGGGCCATGAAAAGTGTGCGAACTGAAAAGGCAAACTTGACTAGCACATGATCTTGTGATGCCTGTCTCCACATCCTAACTGCATGATTGCCGATGTAAGCAAAATCCTCAGCCCATTGGTGCGCTTGCAGCGCGTGGACACTCCCTTCACATGATGGCGTAAATGCAATGTCCATCGCATCAAAGCAACCCTGCAACATTTTGAAACCACACATAGCTTCAGGGCACTCATACGGGAACAGATGGGCCCTGATTTGGTGTGTCTGGATGTGTAGGAAGTCTGCCAAAGCCCTCAGGAACCCGGGAACGGCATCGTGGTTACTGTTTGGGAAACCATAGATATGGACCCAGACAAGCCCGGCATCGAAGAGGATGTGGACTGCAAACCAGTGATGATGTGCCATAATTAGTACACGATGCTCCAAGTGATGTGTCAAAATGCATCGTCGATTCGAGATCACCTCCATAATTTGTCGATCTGGGAGCCACATGCAGCATGGCAGCAAGTTGACTGGACCTGTAAAATGGCGGCAAATATCAATGGCATGGTCGAGTTCATCTGATCCGGCAAGCGCCGGGTAGATACAAAACTCTTGGACTCTTGCTCTTGTTCTTTCCCAACCAGGACCGCATTGTGAGATCGTCATATTGCTCGTCTCTTCACCAAAGAACTCTGTTTGTACCCCAGTCTGTACCCTTAGGTTGGCCAAGGCAGTGCTGCTCGAATTCGTGCGAGTTTCTTCGGCTGCATCTTGTGTCTGCGTGGCCACTGTGAGAGTGGACCTTTCATCTTGCTGAGGATGCTCAAAAACCCAGAGTGGTTGACCTGCAGCACAGATAGATAGTGCATCAAGCCTTGTATGCACACTTGTATTGAACTGAAACAAATGTACAAGGAATGCTTGACGAATTGTGTGTGCCGCTTGCTGGAGACCTGGGTCTGCTTGTGTGCGTGCCCATGCATGGGTGGATTTGTCCAAAACCCTTGAGATGATTCGCTTACGATCATCTGATAAGCCTTGGAATTCACTCAGCGTTCTACTAAAGGCTTGTTGCGAATGTGACAACACGATCCATCGCCACAGCAGGGACCACCCGCACATGTGAGGAGGGCCAATGTTTGCCCAGTGTTGAATGACTAGCCGATGTGCAGGTTTTGCAGAACATGGCATATGAATGTCTCAATCCTATGCTGGTTAGCTTGCGAACACTGCAGGATAGCAATTTCAGGCAGGTCATGTTGTTTGTCGATTTCGATTCCTATCCAATGCCCTCCAAAAAGAACCGGCAGCAAACTGACACCAGTATTAGGAACATGGACGTCTTCACTCTCGAAGATGAAATCATCTGCAACATGCGAGTAAATTGCCACTGGTAGGAAATGGAACTGTGAGGCTGCTCGTCGCACACGGCTGGCTGCAAAAGCCCACTCGTCTGTTGCCATCCACCCTTCAGTTTCTTCTGCGAAAACTAAGCGTTCCCCTAGGGTCGCATGCGGTCGCAGAAAAGCAGCTCTGACCGATGTCCATCTTGCAGCACCTCCGGCAGCCACTAGGGGATATCGGCTTTGACTGACCTGTCTATTCCGAAAGATCCATCCAATCCAGTCACCCGGATCAGAATGGCGCTCATCATCCATGGCAGAAACTACTCGCCCGAGACGCCCCCCAGGGTGCTCTTCCGAGCATGTAGTAAAAGGGCTGCAGTTATTTCTACCAGGAACACCGGAGACTCTTGGAGGCGGTTCGTCATACCCTACCTCATCTTGCTCATCAACGGCTCCAAAGGTGTTCTGGATGCATGGGGGCGGTTTGTTCTGCCCTGCCCCATCTTGTGATTTGATCTGAGTCCAATCTTCAGTAGAATCTGGAGGTGGTTCATTTTTCCCTACCTCATCTTGATGTTTCTTAAATTTCTCGCAGGGCGAATGCATCGAAACAAGACCGGAAATGGTCTTGGCCAGCTCAGGCTCATGTGTCTGTTTCGCTGTTTTCTGGACTGGTGTCATCCACCATTGAAAAGCGTTTGGTGCTCCTGAGCCCCTCTTTTTCCATTGCCTCAAACATGAGGCCCTCCAAGTACTGCCTGCCTGTACCTCCTCGGCCTGCATAAAAAGCATCTCCCGGCACCATCGTAGGGATTTGGTGAAGCTGATTCCATTCAGGTATAATTCTACCATGATGTTTACGAATTGGATGCATTCTATGCTCTGTCGATAGCAGGTTTCCATGTTTTCTTGGAGAAGCCACTCAAGAGTCAGGTGGGTTGCGATCCAATGATCAAACCACTTCACTTCAAAGACGTCCGAAACAGGTGTTGGTTCGGTCACCTTCTTGTCATCCCAGACTGCAATCCATGTCACGCCCCAGGGTGCTCGTACCTGGCACAGGTACCACCTAGCAGGGCACTGGGATTTCAGCTCGTCATACACAGCCTTTCGAAGCTTTACCCTTGTGTATCCTGATGTTCCCCTTTCTGGGGTCTTGATGCGAAGAAACGTGAAGTCTTGACAGGTCTGAAGCACCTGCCACTCTTCCACCAGGATTACCTGTGAGTGAGCGTTCAGCAAACTCTCCTTGGAACGATGTTTGCCAATGCAAATGAAGTCCTCCCATGGCTTATATGGCATGGCCCAATCCGCGGCCGCGCCCAAAAACGCGTCCGACAGCCACACCCCGCGAAGGTCCCCCGATATGGATTGTAAAAACATAACAACCTCCTCATATGATCTCACATGTGTTTGCTTAAGAGATATCAAGAGTCTACATTAAGTTAAGGGGAGGTCAGTGGGGAGGTCATTCTACCAGTTTAACCTCTTCTTTCACCAGGAGCTACGGAGCGATCGCGCCATCGTTGCACGGCTTGGTTTTGATCGGGGCCGGGGGAAAACGGCGACGATCAAAACCTTGGCTGATCATTTTTTGGACCTTCAAAACGGAGCGATTTACCACTTGGATAGCTGGATAATTTTGGAACTTCTAAAAGGATCTTTGAAATTCTACGAGATCTGACTGCTCAAGTACGAAAAACGTGGACAAACCCAGAAACAACGGTTGAACTTGTGCATTGGGGATTTCACTTCCTGGCGTGCATCTCACAGTAGAAAGGTCGTTAAGTACTTTGTGTTGTGCCTATAGAACTTGCAAGTCAAAGTAAATATTAATAGGCTACCCAAGCCCTGCCGCTGTATATATATATATATATGATTATATATTATATAATTGCATATTCCAAAAGTATATATATACACACACACGTGTATAAATAGTAAAAATCCATGGAAATCATGACCGAAAATCTTCACTTCCCCATCCGCGGGGTGTTCCTCGCCACATCCCAAAGGTCCTTTTGGCGGTGCGCTGCACCTGGCAAGCTGCGCGCTTCGCACTGGGCGCCGCGCGCGAGGATCGTCAGGTGGTGCTGGCGGCTGGGCGCTGGCCGCGCTCGCGGTCGCCGCGGCGGAGGCATTGTTGGAGCAAGTCCGATCATGTCTCGTTTTGAAACATCCACATCAGAACGCGGAACGGGGATGCAATTCTTTGTGCGGCAGTGCAAGCACTAGCTTCGGTCAGATGGGTCAATGCATGTCAAAAATTGTGAAGCACATTGAAGTACTCATGGAGCCCAGACTTTGGACTGCACTGCTCCAGGTGCAGCTAGGCTCACCCTGCAGTCTCCAGATCCAACAGTCGCGGCTGGTGACTCAGTTTTGACGTTTGATTTGGGTTTCAGCCCTACCCATCCAGTGGCGTCGCCACAGGATCCAGAGGTATTGTGGAAAGGTTGGGAAATCCGACCGCCCTCGAACCTGCATTGGAAAAGATCAGACAAGCCTTACATTTACAGGTCAACAAAAGTTTGAATAGCTGCTGAATGATCTGAATGAGAACATCTACATCCGTGAGGATGTTTGGTTGTGTTGAAAGAGTCTTCCTTTTGTCCAGCTGCTTTTTCCATTAAGGGTGCCAGAGTTGAACCGACCTCGTCACGACGTGGCCTTCAGCCCCAGAGATGCGGTGAGCGGCCTCGAAAGGATGCGACGGAGCGCGTCACAAAAGGGAGTGTGGTCTGAGAGACTGGGGTGAGCGTAGTACATCCAGGTAGATTCAGATGAGGACTTTTTAGAGTAAAACCCATCGGCCAAACGAAATCCTGGAGGTGATGAGTGAGCCTAAAGTCTGCTGTCTAAAGATGTGCTGAATGGACTGCTTGTGACTGATGGATGAGTCTTCTTCTTCACCTCGGAGAGCTCCAAGCGCCGACCGGACGGTCGACCGACTCAAGAGACCAAACTGAAGAACCCGGGTGTGGGAGACCGCGATGTATAGCTAGAGTATGCTAGAGTGGCGAATGGAAACTCGTTGATTATATGATGTTATATTAATATATCGCGGCCACGGACAGAGTCTCCGGCTACCGCAAGAGCAAAAAAAAAACTATATTATCCCGGCAAGAGACCCCAAACAGTGTGCGTGAGGTCTGTAAGCAGAAAGTCTAGAGATCTAGGCGCATTGGGGTCCAGAGAGGTGATGGCGGTGATGAAGTGAATGTGGGTGTGAGTGAGTGTGGGTGAGAGGGAGTGTGAGTGTGAGTGAGAGTGGGAGAGTGAGTGTGAGTGAAAGTGTGAGTGAGAGTGAGTGTGGGTGAGAGTGAGTGTGAGTGTAAGTGAGCGTGAGTGAGAGTGAAGGTGGGTGTTAGTGAGTGTGGGTGAGAGTGAGAGTGTGTGTGAGTGTGTGTGTGTGTGTGAGTGAGTGAGTGAGTGAGTGAGTGAGAGTTAGTGAGTGTGGGTGTGGGTGAGAGCGAGTGTGAGGGAGAGTGAGAGTGACTGTGAGTATGAGTGAGACGTGAGTGTGAGTGAGTGCGAGAGTGAGAGTGAGAGTGAGAGTGAGAGTGAGAGTGAGAGTGAGTGAATGAGAGTGTGAGTGAGAGTGAAGGTGGGAGTGAGTGAGTGTGGGTGAGAGTGAGCGAGCGAGTGAGAGTGAGTGTGGGAGAGTGAGTGTGAGTGCGAGTGTCAGTGAGAGTGAGAGTGGGAGTGTGAGGTGAGGGGGTGTGAGTGTGAGTGAAAGTGGGAGTGAGAGAGAGTGAGCATCTGAGAGCACAAAGTGCTGCGCCTGCCACGAAATCTGTCTGTGCCTGCCACGAAATCTGCACTTCGAGGTTCGCCAAGTGCTGCACCTGCCACGAAATCTGCACTTCGAGGTTCACAAAGTGCTGTACCTGCCACGAAATCTGCACTTCGAGGTTCACAAAGTGCTGTACCTGTCACGGAATCTGCACTTCGAGGTCCACCAAGTGCTGCACCTGCCACGAAATCTGCACTTCGAGGTTCACAAAGTGCTGTACCGGTCACGAAATCTGCACTTCGAGGTTCACAAAGTGCTGCACCTGCCACGAAATCTACACTGCACATCGAGGGTCACAGAGTGCTGCGCCTGCCACGAAATCTGCAAACGAGCCACATGTCCAAAAGTCACGATTCACTGCACCTGTCACGAAATCTGAGCTCCTCGACGATCACCACCATGTCCAAAGTGCTGCACCTGCCACGAAAACTGCATTTTGAAGCAAAACACCTCCGATCCCTTGCACCTGTCATGAAAAGTGACCACCATGTGCGAAAATGCGCACGGCACCACAACGAGAGCGCAGTCGCTGGCACCTGCTGCCGGCCCCCAGATTCTGCGAGCCTGCGCAGTCGGAGTGCACATGGACGATGTCGAGAGGCATGAATGTACTGTAAATAGCTACGAATTAGCCGTTCACGCCCGCGCGCCTCAGCGATCTAAGCACACCTTCCTTTCCCCTACCGTAAGAACCCCTCAGTGTGCCCACACTGTTTGGGGAATATAATGGAATATATAATATATACATATATATTTATTGAACATTATAATGCACTTCAACCTCCGGATGAAGAGGTTTTACAATCTATAGATGGGGCTTGATCAATCATCCGACATGGTCGAGCACCTCTTTGGTGGTTGACGTTTGCCGAGCCTTTTTCCGTACGAAGAGCGCGACGAGCAAAGAGCGCTTCGAAGAATGGCCAGGAAGTGGGCGAAGGGCTCCTTGAGGAGCTGGCAGGGACGGAGGTGGATTCGGATGGATTTTTGGGAACCAGAAAGGTGCTCTTCCAATTGAAATTTGCTGTAGAATGGTGTGTGAACAAGGGTCATGCACTTGGTGACTGAAACGGCTCAGGCCATCCTTCTGGCTATCAAAGAGGCCCTTAAAGATCTTAAAGGGGTCAGGGCGTGTGAAGCCCCTCTTCGTGTGTGAACTGTAGTGAAGAGATAGTTTTGAAGAGGCTGGTTTTGTTTGGTTTCCTTTCTGAATTCTAACAGAATGTGTCGAGAGATTTTGTGGGGAAATCTTGGGAGTTCTCGAAAAGCTCTTTGGTTGAGTCAAGAGCCTGGACCCGCTTGTTGAGCTCGTCCAATGGACTGGTGGCCAAGCATCCCCAAGCGCGATCCTACCAGATTAATTTAAAGCAAAACTCAGACAAGCGGTGCTCACCGACAGGCATTCACCAGAGTGCTGTAGCCGTGACATCAGTTTGGGTTACCAGATGGGCACCTGTGGAACCAGCAATTCCAAAAAACAGGAGAGCGGATTCCTCGTAGCGACTCGAGCGCAGGTGTCGGTGACTTTCACTACAAACCTGGTCAGGTGTTTATCAATGGGTTCCTAGTAGGTTCCATGTTTAACACCTTTTGTTTTTAACACCTGGAGGATCCTGGAGGTGTGTTTTCTTCGTCTTCACCGAAGGTCGCTGGAGCCGCGGGCCCCTCCGACCATGTCGGCGTCGCGGCATTCGATGGATGGAACCGATTCGGCTGAAGGGGCACCGAAGAAAAACGGTCTATATTAGTTTTTCGATTATTGATGTTATTGTTATGTTAAATTAACTGTATATAATGTAATTATGACATATTTTTCATACATACATACCATACCATACCATACCATACCATACCATACCATCACATCACATCACATCACATCACATCACATCACATCACATCACA